ACTGCAGTTGTTAAGTGAACCACTGCAGTTGTTAAGTTAGTAGCATGATTGTAAAGTGAATCTCGCTTCCCCATTGACTTTGCTTGTCAGAAGGTCACGTGACCATGGGGATGCTGCAACGGTTATAAGTGTGAAAAATGACCGTGTCAGGTTTTTTTCAGTGCCGTTGTAACCTTAAATGGTCACTGAATGAACCGTTGTAAGTCAAGGACTACCTGTAAGTGAGCTCAGTCATTAGATCACATCTTTTAGCTGTTGTTTAACAGTACTCGCTCCCCGATTTGGCTTGTGGTCACTCGCTCATAGCTCTGGTTAACAGCCATACTCAAATCACTTTCAACCAAACACATTGTTGTGGCCTGCCAGCTGCCAGCAGAGCTGGCATCAGTTTCGGATGAGTAGGAGGTTGGGGAAGAACCTGGGCCAGTTCTGGAGCCTGGGGAAGGCTCAGCGTTGGACACAGAGATAGAGCCAGGGCCGTCCGGCATTTCCCAGTCACCGGAGAGGCAGAGATGAGTGAGGAGGAGGAACAGCTGGGGCCAGTTCCAGATGCGCGAATGCGCAGAGCAGATAGGAGAGGAGAACAACGGAGGACAATGAGCCGGCTCGGGAAGCAAAACAAATGTGGATGCTGACTGGCCCCTCCCTAGCTGGAGAATAAATAGGAGGAGAAGGGAGTGGTTTGATTGTTACAGGCTATCGTTCGCATTTCTGGAAAGTTTGCTCCTTGTGTGTTTCGTGTGACAAAGACTGTGTTGCCAAAACTGAGGTTTGTCTTTCTCTGATTGAACTAACTTAATTTGCAGCTTACAGCCTTGCATTGATCATAATGTGCTTATAAGGACTATTGTTTCAGTTAACTTCTTGTAGGATCCTTGCCGGGACTTTCTGTTGGTGAATGCAGTTGATTCCCAATGTGTAAATAAAGAGGGGGGGGGTCTTTGCAGGGAGTCTGTTTCTCGCTTCTGTGAAGGCCGGATCAGAACAACAGCCCTCTCTAAGTAGTTTACAGAGTTAGCATTTTGCCCCCAACAATCCTGGTCCTCATTTGACTAACCTCGGAGCAGTGGTGGGATACGATTGGTACACCCGTTCCGGTACGGTGCCCTGCAGGGCCCACCCGCCCGACCTCCTTACCTGTATTTGAGCCGACTGGAGCTTTTGCGCACAGAGCATACGACGCCTACGTGACGCTCCACCAAGCAGCTGGAATGTCACAGGCGGTAAGTACGCATGTGTGCGCTGCGCCCGTACATGTAGTGGACGCTGGGCCCCGTTGCAGCGTATCGGTTGCAACGGGATCCGGAACCCACCATTGCCTCGGAAGGCTGGAAGGCTGAGTCAACCTTGACTGGTTTACCTGGTTATTGAAAGGCGACTCCTCCAATTTTTTCCCATGCAGGGCCAAATCTTTGCGGACGATGGCAGCCCGGTCTGGAGGGGCCAAAGGCTCAAGGGGAATGAAGACAGCATCCGTCCGCTGCTTCAGGGATTCAAGCAACATGGACTCCGCAGAAAGGCTGAGAACCAGGCTGACTCGCTGCAGGGAGACACAGAGCCAAGGAAGGATGAGACTCCGGGCCAGTGGTGGCTAACCTTTTTGTCGTGGCATCCGTAACACAATGCGCACCCAACCCCCCGCACAACCCATCCTCTACGCATCCATGCATGACCCCCCCACATGCCCCCGTGCATGCATACATGCCCCCCTGTATGCGTAGCTCCCAAGCATGTGCATGATCCCCACATGTGCCCCACCTGACGCATGTGTGTGCAACCCTTCCCAATTCCTCCCTCTTCCCCATGCATGCATGCAGGACGCCTTGCATGCTTCCTATACATATATGCATGACCCCTGTGCATGCACGCACCCCCACCGACCCTCCACACATGTGCAGCAGAGACCCAAAAACCAGCTGGCCAGCAGGAGGCACATGAGCAGTGAAGCTGAGCTGGGGTCCCCGCAGTGAGGCCTCTACGTGCCAGCTGTGGCCCGCATGCCATAGGTTCGTCATCACAGCATTATGTGGAGCAGTCTAACGGAGCCAAAGCCTGGGAAGGATATGAAAGGAAGCTGCAACTTACCTGGGGCATATTTTCAGGCAGCCAGTCAGATACCAGCTCTCCTCCAGCAGTGTGGATCAAGTCAGCTCCGTCGATCAAAAGCACCAAGGACTGGCGCCGTTTCAGCAACTTGGCCACCGCGTGGAGAAGGCATTCAAACTGGGTTACAAGCCCTCTGTAAGCAAAAATAAATATCCCTCTTTCCTTCTTTGCAAGATCAGGATAATTCCGTGATTCTCAACCTCCACTAGTTGAAGATGCGTGGACTTCAACTCCCAGAATGCCCCAGCCCCTGCTGTGATTCACACCAACAGGGCAAGCCATTTAGAGTATATACTGAAAGCAAACCCCACTCCTTACTAGCACTGACGATGTTACCTAGTTCGGGAAATGAAACACATGGAAGAAAACTACCAAGGAGCCCCCATGAACCCACTGACTGGGAATTCTGGGTTTTGTTGTAGTGTGAGGGTGAAGATTCGTTCTCTAAGCTTGTGGGTTGGGTCCCAAAATCTGATCACCAGGCTAAGTAAACATCTTCAGCGGAGCTTAGGGGATGTCAGTGTTCACCTGTTTATGAGCCTCACGTGTTCATGTGTCAAATAAGGGTCTATGATAGGATCTTATGATAGGGTTGCCACAAAGGAAATGGAATCCAGGGCATCTGAGTGTAGAACAAGAAGCAATGGGTGGAAACTAATCAAGGAGAGAAGCAACTTAGAACTGAGGAGAAATTTCTTGGCAGTTAAAACAATTAATCAGTGGAACAGCTTCCCTCCAGAAGTTGTGAATGCCCAACACTGGAAGTCTTTAAGAAGATGTTGGATAGCCATCTGTCTGAAACGGTATAGGGTTTCCTGCCTGTTGGACTCCAAGGTCCTTTCCAACCCTGTTATTCTATTCTAAAGTGTTGATGGCAGGTGAATTAAAAATCTTGAATAGTTATCTTGTCAGATGTGAGGTAACATCAGGTGAGGGCAGTGGTGAAATTCGAAAATTTTTGCCACCGGTTCTGTGGGCGTGGCTTGGTGGGCATGGTGTGGCTTGCTGGGTGTGGCTTGCTGGGTGTGGCTTGCTGGGTGTGGCAGGGGAATGACACGGCAAAATCTTCATTCCCACCCCACTCTGAGGCCAGTCAGAGGTGGCATTTGCCGGTTCTCTAAACTACTCAAAATTTCCGCAACCGATTCTCCAGAACCCGTCAGAACCTGCTGGATTTCATTCCTGGGTGATGGTCACTAGGAGATGAAGTGCTGGTTGGGAGGGGGGGAGTTGCATGGATTGGTTGAGGGTCGGTGCAGACTCTGATTGGCTGCATGGTTGATTTGGATTCTGAGGGGTTCATAGGCTGGGTGTAGGTCAGTGTATCTGTTGATGGAATTGCTTGTGGAGTGCCAGGCTTCGATAAACTCACGAGCGTGTGGTGGTGGGGGTAGTGGGGCCAATGATTTCTGTGTTGCTCCAATCGAACTGGTGCCGTTTGGTGTCGGTGTGGGTAGAGATTAAGGATTTGGTATCATGGCGTTTAGATTGCCAGCCGGTGTTTGCTGTTGTTGGTTGTAGTGCCAATTCCAAGTATATTTCTTACCAATGCAAGATCCCTTACTCACAAAATAAACGAATGAAGGCTACATATTGCAGAGACTAAATACATCAGGAACTGCTGTGTTTTGCTAATCACAGAAACTTGGCTTCATTCACTCATTCTGGATGCAGCTGTTGAGCTGGAAGGCTACATAGCTCACCGGCAGGACAGGAATAGTGAATCCGGCAACAGCAGAGGGGGAGGTTTAAGCCTTTATGCGAACAAAAGCTTGTACCCTGAAGACAGCATTTAATTTCGTTGTACCATGTGCAATGACAACAAAGTAAACTAAACTAATACTTGGGAGGGCAGTCTTGAGATGTCCAAAATCTCCCTAGTCAAGCCTAGAGCTGCAGAATTAGGACTCAACCAGGGGTGGGTTTCTCGCCCCGTTCCAACCGGTTCGGTTGGAACGGGGCCGGCGGTGTCCTCGTGCACACGCGCAGTGCACGCATGCGTACTAGCGTCTGTGCGATGCTCCAGCTGCTCCTGAAGGATCGCGCAGGCGCTGTATGCGTCATGCACATGCGTGGAAGCACAGAACTCATCAAAACCGGGTAAGGACCGAGGGCGGGCGGGTGGGTCCTTCGCCGTTCCCGGAAGTTACTTACTTCCGGGTTCGCCGACCAACCGGTTCACAGGGACCGCCGCGAAGTGGTTGAAACCCACCCCTGGACTCAACCAACCTGTAACTTCTAGGTGGGGTCGGAGGGTTCTCTAGTAACTTCCTAAGCAAGGCGCAGATGTGATCCAGCACAACTTGGGCTTTGGTCTGATTGGGTCCCGCTTTGGTGAAATGGGCTACAACATGATACTTGGGAGGAGGGCCTTCTCCGTGCAGCGGGACCATCTTCCTGAGCTTTTCTGCAAGGGCTGCCTGTGGAGATGGAGAGAAAAGTAGAAAAAAACCTTCAGTCATGGATTCTAGCCAAGATAAACCTTCCTTCCATAATCCCATCAAACCTGGAATTAAAGCGGCCAACCTCAAATACCAACCCAATCACTAGTCCTTCCTGGTTGGAGAATTTTCTCTTGGGGAGCATTTCAGTCCAAATTTTATCAAAACACAAGGAGACAAAAGTCCATCTCCCACAGAGGGGAATGAATATGCCTCAAGTTCTCCAACAAAACCCTTTGTCTCTTTTTTGTCCCCAAGTTTTTTTTTTAAAATAAAAATGTCAAATCAATGCGTGAACAGTGTGGCACTTGGGCACCATGCATTCCAATACAAACAAAACCGATCAGATTGGATATTCAATTCAATCAACTTACCATATTTTTCACAGTATAAGATGCATGGGAGTATAAGATGCACCAAGGTTCTGAAGAGGCATATTAAAAAAAAGGTTTTGCATTCTGCAGACCTCCCCAAAATGCCCCTTTTTCGCAAAATGGGCCCGTTTTTTGTCAAAAAAAAAAGGTCATGCATAGTCTTTAGGAAGCTTGTAGAGTGCTCTTAGGGGCTGGGAGGGGGGGGGAGGAAAAAACCAGCTGTTTTTTGCAAAAAAAAGGGCGTGCATAGCCTTTAGGAGGCTTATAGAGTGCTCCTGAGGGCTGGGGGTGGGGAAATGAGCAAAAAACGGACCATTTTTCACTCATTTTTTCCCTCCCCATCCCCCGAGAGCACTCTGGAAGCCTCCCAAAGGCTATGCCCAGCCATTTTTCCAAAGGGGGCGGTGTTTTTGGAGGCAAAAATGCTGTATTCAGTGTATAAGACACACCCAGATTTTCACCCTTTGAGGGAAGAAGGTGCATCTTATACTCCGAAAAATACGGTATATAATTCCCATAACAATATACATCTATATTAGACTACAATCTTTCATTATTTAATTATTCTATTTCTCATTATTACTTCCATTTTATCAAAAAAAAATGTAGTACATTAATATTCCCTTTATTTCTATCAGTCTAGCTTTTAATCATATCACCCTATAAAAAGCTTTCCCCTTCTTTCCTGACTAACTTTTGGCACGCAACAACACTGCTATATATTAAGGTTCCATATCTCCATATCTTGTTCCAAGTTCTCCAGATCTCCCCACTGCTTCAACCTTCCCTTTGTGCTCACCAAAAAAACTGTCTTTCCCTGGCCAGGTTCACCGCTCACAACATAAAGCTTGCCACCGCGCATCTGAGCTGCTGTGGTATTCAGAAGCTTCGTCCGGGCACAAAATCTCCTTTGCTGAGATTCCTGGAAAGATTCTTGCAGAGTGTTTCCTTCTTCTTCCTTTGAGCCTGTTGGGAGTTCAGATTCACCTCCCTAAGTTGAGAGACGAGAGAAATAAAGCTCAGTTTGTTTCTGAATAAACTTTCTTGACAAGCTCAACTATAGCAGAGCTTTGAAAGAGTCTTGATACTTCTCTGAGCTTGACTGACGATACAGTGAAGTTCAGTTCAACTGCTTGGAAATTCATGGAATTTGGTACTCAATGCGTTTTGATGAGAAAATTTTGCCCCGGTACTTGTTGTTTGTTTGATACTCAACGTGCAAGCTAGAACTTGTTGGTGTTCTTTGCCTCATGACCTGCTATCATTTCCAGCAAATCAGAGGCTGGCGTGTTAGTCCCAGGGTAACTATTTTCCTGTGTACATCCCCTTGAAGTCTTAGGTTACTTTCTGTGTATTTTTTCCTTTCTTTCCTCATCAATAGAGATGAAGCAGTGGTGAAATTCAATTTTTTTTACTACCGGTTCTGTGGGCATGGCTTGGTGGGCGTGGTGTGGCATGGTGGGTGTGGCAAGGGAAGGATAATGCAAAATCTCCATTCCCTCCCCACTCTGGGGCCAGCCAGAGCTGGCAATTTGCCGGTTCTCTGAACTACTCAAAATTCCCACTACCGGTTCTCCAGAACCTGCTGGATTTCACTCCTGAGACAAAGTGAAGCTTTTACTTTATTTAATCTAAGTATGTATTAATTTGTAGTGATATACAATCCTATACTATCTCAGGTAGTGATATACAATCCTATCTGTTTACATATTGTCCCAAAATGTGCACTGCCTTTGGTTTGCGAGTTAAATCAAATTTATTTACATTGTTCCTTATGGAAAATTTTGTTTGCTATTCATTGTTTTTGGTACTCATCGTGCCTCCCGGAACCAATTATTGACAAGTACCGAGGTATTACTATACCTAGTTTGGGTAATGAAACATTTGCAAGAAAACAACCAAGTTCGGAGAACGCCGAGGAACCCTTATTTCAACCCCAAGCTATAAATATTTCCTTTATTGGTAAAAAAAATAGTAGATACCTCAATGAAGTGGTTCTGGAGGCATTTCCACACATCCTGCAAGACTCTGTGGCCAAAATCTTCAAGGCCTTTCACAAAAGGCTGGCCTTGGGCAACTCCACCCCACTCACAGCCATAGCTAGAAAAAAAGGGTCAGGTTAGGGCACATTACAGGTAGTCCTCAACTTACAACCATTCATTCAAAGTTACAACGGCACTGAAAAAAATGACTTATGACCATTTTTCACACTTACAACCTTTGCAACACACTTACAGCCTATGGTCGCACAATCAGAATTCAGAGGCTTGGCAACTGGCATGTACTTATGACGGTTGCAGTGTCCAAGGGTCATGTGATCAGCCTTGAAGAGCCACGGTGGCGCAGTGGTGAGAGTGCAGTACTGCAGGCTACTTCTGCTGATCACCGGCTTCCTGCAGTTTGACAGTTCGAATCTCACCAGGCTGAAGGTTATCTCAGCCTTCCATCGTCCCAAAGTGGGTAAAATGAGGACCCAGATTGTTGGGAGGCCAATAGGCCGACTCTGTAAACCGCTTAGAGAGGGTTGTAAAAACACTATGAAGTGGCATATAAGTCTAAGTGCTATTGCTATTTTTGTGACCTTCTGACATGCAAAGTCAAATAAGGAAGCCAGATCCACTTAACAACCGTGTCAATAACTTAACAACTGCACTGATTGACTTAACAGCTGTGGCAAGAAAAGTCATAACATAGGACAAAATTCCCTTCACTGTCTCACTTAGCAACAAAAATGTTGGGCTCGGTTGTGGTCGTTAATTCGAGGATCACCTATATGTTCTCTCTCTTACTCGGCAGCTATCCCAATTGTACATACACAATTGTCACGTCCTTTACCTGCTAAAGGCAGCCAAGCTCCCATGTTTCCTGAGATGTTCCTTCAAATCAGACATGCGTTGGGCAGCTTCTTCTGATTCAGCTCCAAAATCTTTCTTCCACGCTTCTGGTACGGAGCTGAGAAGGGCGAGACAGACAGACTGTTCAAAATGTATGATTAAGACAATCCACCTTCTGTGAGAATTGCTGTTGAGGTTAAAAAGCAGCATTTGAAGGTGTGGAAAAGAATGTTCTGACTGAGGCTTCCCGAGAGCATGCAGCAAGCTCCTTGTCCCAAGACAAAAACTCCTTTTATTAATTGACTGTGAATTCTGCTCATTCACATACAGCAAAGTCTTTCGAGGGAAGATTTACAGTCACAGACCTTATCTGGCTTGGAGAGCTACCAGGCCGGGAGGGGCCCATTCATCGTCCACCTGTGGCTTTACTCCCAAGTCGACCCCTGTTCTTTAGCTGTTCCCTTCATCTGGCAACTGTGCATGTGCACACAGGGAACAGGCTCCAGCTGTTCATCTGCCTCACTGATGTCTGGCTCTGAAGGCAGCTGATAACTGGCATATGGCTCTGGCCCCATCTCTGCCTCCGACACAAAGCCCTCATCAGAGCCTTCCCCAGACTCCAGGACTGGCCCATGTTCCTCCCCAACCTCCTCACTGTCCGAATCTGCTGCGGGCCACAACAAAGAACTGGAGGCAATGGGTAATGTTATCAATCTGGTGCCACAGTGGTTAGAATGCAGCATTGCAGGCAAAACTCCGCCTATCACCTGGTGTTCGATCCTGACAGGAAGGTTGATTCAGCCTTCCATTCTTCCGAGGTCTGTAAAATGAGGACCCAGATTGTTGGGGGCAATAAGCTGACTTTGTAAACTGCACAGAGAGTGCTGTACAGCTCTATTAGATTTTATTGTCACTTTAAATGAACACTAATCAGCATATATTAAAATGATATTTTGTTGCACACAGCTCTGAGACGGTCACCACTTCCAATATATTCTGCATAAACATGACAAAAATAAGAAAGAAAGAAAGAAAGAAAGAAAGAAAGAAAGAAAGAAAGAAAGAAAGAAAGAAAGAAAGAAAGAAAGAAAGAAAGAAGGGAAGGGAGGGAGAAAAGGAAGGAAGGAAGGAAGGAAAGAAAGAAAGAGGGAGAACAGGAAGGAAGGAAAGAAAGAAAGGAAAGAAAGAGGGAAGGAAGAGGAGGGAAGGAAAGGAAGGAAAGAAGGAAGGAAAGAAGGAAAGAAAGAAAGAAAGAAAGAAAGAAAGAAAGAAGGGAAGGGAGGGAGAAAAGGAAGGAAGGAAGGAAGGAAGGAAGGAAAGAGAAAGAAAGAGGGAGGACAGGAAGGAAGGAAAGAAAGGAAAGAAAGAGGGAAGGAAGAGGAGGGAAGGAAAGGAAGGAAAGAAGGAAGGAAGGAAAGAAAGAAAGAAAGAAAGAAAGAAAGAAAGAGAGGGGAAAAAGGAAGGAAGGAAAGAAAGAAAGAAAGAAAGAAAGAAAGAAAGAAAGAAAGAAAGAAAGAAAAAGAGGGAGGGAGGGGGAAGGAAGGAAGGAAGGAAGGAAAGCAAGGATGGAATGTGTTCCTTTTAGTGCCTACAAATATATCCTTTTTATTAAGTACGTGGATTAGATTTAAGTAACAATAGCAATAAGATTTATATACTCTGCGCCCTAGGGCTTTGTAGTACTTTCCGGGCAGTTTACAAGATCAGCATATTGTCCCCAAAAATCTGGCTCCTCATTTTATTGACCTTGGAAGAATGGAAGGCTGTGGAGCCACATTAAACTCCAGGCTGTGGTCACAGCTAGCCTGCAGTGCTGCATTCTAACCACTGCGCCACCAGGCCTTCTAGTAAGTGGAAAGGTGCTCGTAGCATCTGCAAATTAGTTGAGAGGAATTATTTACCCAAGAAAGTCAGGCTCTCGTAGATAGAAGAATGCCCTAGATTCTGCTGTGGGGTCATGGTTGCCATTCAGGAATTGAACAGCCTCCAGCTCGGTGATGGAGCGGCCTGATGGGTATGTTTTCACCTGCAGAGAGAATATTTAAACAGTAGTTTTTATTCTGAGAACTTTCTCAACAGTTGTTGTTTTCTTCTTTGGTCACATTTAGCTCTAGTTAAACCTTGATTCTCTTAATTTTCTGCCTTTCCTGTCAACACTCATTAAGGCGATTAATTAGGCCCACAATGCTATCTCATATCTAAGTATATTTACCCATGATATAAAACTGTAGTATTATTAGCCTTCTCATCTTCTCTACTACCCCCCTTATTGGTATAATTATTATGATTATTATTACTCTGTTGCTTTGCATGTACACCTGGCCAAATAAACTCACCTGTCCTGTCCTGTCCTACCCTAGGGTGGGGTAGGATAGAATAGAGTGTAGGGTAGAGTAACCCTACTCTACCCTACTCTACTCTACATTCTACTCTACCCTACATTCTACTCTACCCTATACTCTATCTACTCTACTCTACACAACTCAACTCTACTCAACTCTTCTCTACTCTACGCTACCCTATCCTACCCTACCCTACCTTACCCTACTCTATTCTACTCTGCCTCTATGTTATGGACCTTGTCCTAACAACTGTTGGGGCCACAAAATCCCACCAGACCTGTATGCTTGTAAAACACAAATTATGCAAATCTCTGCTAATGTGACACACACATCCCAATAGGCAAATGCTAAATCACTACTTTCTTCACATCCAATTGATGCTTATTTTCTTGTTCCTTTGGGAAAGGAAGTTTTCATTTAGCACCTTCTCCGATTAGTGTTTCTCAACCTCGGCAAATTTCAGATGTGCGGACTTCAACTCCCAGAATTCCCACCCATCTTAAAGTCATTGAGATAGAGAAACACTATTCTGGATCATCAACAGCCCAGATGTTGGCTGTGGAATTCTGGGAGTTGAAATCCATGCATTTAGCTTCTAAGATTGAGAAATACTATTCTGGATCAACAACAGCCAGGATGTTGGCTGGGGAATTCTGGGAGTTGAAGTCGATGCATTTTAAAGTCGTCGCTGAGATTGAGAAACATTGTTCTGGACCATCAACAATCCAAATGCTGACTGGGGATTCTGGAAGTTGAAATCCATGCATTAATTTCTGAGGTCAAGAAACATTCTTCTGGATCATCAACATCCCAAGATTCACATCAGTATCATCTCTCACCCATTCATACTGCGGCTCCTCCGGCAAGGAAGTCTCCTTCGGGACCTGTCCGTAGCGCTGTCCAAGGATTCCAATGAAAAGGTCGCTCCGGGAGACTTCGGACAGACACAATTCCACCTGCCTAAAGAAAGAGACCTTGGTGACTCTCTCATCCCATTCCTCAGTTTGGCTTCAATCCCATCCCCTTCCTAGATGTACATGAGGACATCCAGGCAGGAGGACTGTTTTTAACAGGAATTGGTCTCTCAGCACATCACAGAATGTTGTGCTTCTTTATTTGCAGAATAATAATTTCAAAAGAGACTTCAAGAGTCTAATGGAATGTGTGAATGACCGTGAGGGCCAAGGGGAAGATATGTTGCCTAGGAAACAATCAGACAAGAGAGGCAGGAGCCTCCAGTAGTTTAACAATCAGAGGAAGAAATTTAGAAAGGACCGATCGTAATTGTTCAAGTAGTTAGAAATGGAGGCACTTTTCCTATCTTCAAAGCAGGGGTGAAATTCAGCAGCTTCTAACAGGTTCTGGAGAACCGGTAACAGAAATTTTGAGTAGTGGGAAGAACTGGGAAATACCACTGTTAAATCCCCTAGAAGGATGAGGCAGGAGGCGTCTGAGGTGAGTTAAACACAACTGTTTATTAACAGGGCATTCACAAGCGATAGAGAAGTAGACCAGCACCGTGTCCCTGCTTGACAGCTATTTATACAGAGCTGTCAAGCAGGGAGACCAATAGCCTCCGTTTGACAGCCCGGGCACAGCAGGTCGCACCTGATTGTTTCCGGCGCGCCTGGCTGTTGCCGAGCTGTCATTCGTAAGTCCGAGGACTTAACATCTCTTCCCCCCCCCCAGCGAGGGCGCATGTGTCAAAGTGACACATGTGTACACTTGCAGGTAGGCGGGCGGACGGCGGACACGCCCAGAACGCCTCAGTTGAAGAGGCAGCGCTGGAGAGGTAAGACGTCCCCATAGTAGTTCCTCCCTGGAGGGAGTGGAGCTCTGGGTGACATCACTGCGGCCTAGGCCAAGAGGCGGAATCCTCGGAAAAGGTAGGCCGGGCAAAGGGGCCGGCGGGTTTCTTTGAACAGGCCGGTTGGTGGTCAGGGGGTTTGGGAGGCCTGACAACGGAAGGCCTAACTGGGCGGAACAAGGGAGAGCGAGGGCGGATTGAGCTGCGGCAAAGGGGTGCTGAGTCCCGGCGCCCAGGCAGGGAAGGCCTGACTCGGGGAAGGCTATTGATGAAGTGTCTTGCGGAAACAGTGGCGGATCCAGGGAAGGCTGCAAGACATCGGCGGCTGGCCTCTGCATGTCGGATTGACTGGAGGCCTCTGGAGGGTGGCGGCGCCTCAGTTGATCCAGGTGGCACCGCTACGCGCAGCCATCGGGTAGGTGGACCTGTAGGAACAGGGGCCGGTTACATCAGTAACGGTGGCAGGCATCCACCAGGGGTCCCCTGAGTAGTTCCGGGCCCACACCATATCCCCCACAGCAAAAGAACAGGAGGAGTGCACAGGTTGCCAGGCTGAATTCCTGAATAGAGGGGGTGTAGTCTATCCAGGGTGGTCCGCAGATGCCGACCCATCAACAACTCCGTGGGGCTTTGCTGTGTGAGGGGGCAAGGGGTGGAGTGCTGAGCCATTAGGTAAGCATCCACCCTTGCCTGCCAGTCGCCATGGTCCAAACGGCCCAAAGCCTCCTTGGTGACCGCCGTGTGGCGGATCCACAGCGACCAGGAATACCTGGCCGTGGAAGGGACCCGCAAAATCAAGGTGAAGGTGGGACCAGGGCCCACAAGGCACCTCCCACTCCCAGGAGGAGGCGGAGGGGGGAGTGGGGCGGGCTCGCACCTCCCTACCCAGGCCTCGATGTCATCATCCAAGCAGGGCCACCAGACATAACTCCAGGCCAGAGCTTTCATGTGTGCCACCCCAGGGTGGTCTGCATGGAGATGCTGGAGGACCTGGTAATGGAGGGCGGAAGGGATGACCACCCGGTCACCCCACAATAGGCAACCGCAGTGGAGTAACAGCTCCAGCTGATGAGTTTTAAAGGGACGGCACTCCGGAAAGACGCCCCCTGTAGGCCAGCCCCTCAGGACCCATGCCATAACCTGGGAGAGGACAGGGTCAGCTTTTGAGTGGGCGGCCACATCAGTGGCAGAGAGAGGAAGGTCCAACTCGGCGATGGAGAGGACAGACAGATATGGGACCGGCTGCGGGTCAGCGCAGGGAAGGGGGCAGCGGCTGAGGGCATCAGCATGGGCTGTACAAAGGGGGGGCCGCTTTCTATGGAAGGGTGCTTCTCCGTGTACGTCGTGAAAACCACTAAGGCGCTGGTTTTGTTTTTCAAGCAGAGGAATTGCAACACAGCTTGAGCCATAAACATGTCCATTTCGCTGCGATATCCCTTGGCGGAGGAATATTCTACCAACATATTTGCGCAACCTTCACCATCTGTCGAGTGCAGGAAGTAATAGCGAGATTCACAATACTTCTGCTCTTTCCATAACGTGATAGCCAACAACTGGTGTAGTTTTGATGTCCCAGCTAAGCTCGTAAACAGGTCTCGGGGCCGCGAAGGAGCGGGCCGTCCCGAACATCTCGGGGCCACAGGCACTGAGGAAGAAGCTGCACTTCCAAGCCTGCGAATACCCCTGCCGGTTATTAGCTATAAGAAAGCATTCAAAACGCTTCAGGAAGGCAGCCCATGATTCGCCGGCAGTCCCGAACAGAGCGAACGGAGGCATTGCGGCCATAGCTAGATGCCATTTAAACTGTAGCGAGACGTGGCTAGAATTGTCTGGCAGTACGGAGCGCCTAACAGACTAAGTTTGTTTGCCTCTGTAGGTTGTAGCTCAGAGCCAAGATCCCACCAGCTCGTTGCCAGTGTTAAATCCCCTAGAAGGATGAGGCAGGAGGCGTCTGAGGGGAGTTAAACACAACCGTTTATTAACAAGACATTCATAAGCGATAGAGGAGTACACCGGCACCCCCTCCCTGCTTGACAGCTACTTATACGGAGCTGTCAAGCAGGGAGACCAATAGCCGCGCGTTTGACAGCCCACACACAGCAGGTCGCACCTGATTTGTTCCAGCGCGCCTGGCTGTTGCCGAGCTGTCATTCATAAGTCCGAGGACTTAACAACCACCTCTGGCTTGCTCCAGAGTGGGGAGGGAATGGAGATTTTGCAGTATCCTTCCCCCATCACACCCACCAAGCCATGCCCACAGAACCAGTAGTAAAAAAAATTGAATTTCACTGCTGCTTCAAAGGCAGCCCTGGGCAGAGCGTATTACAGTAGTCTAACCCAGTGAACCTTCAGGATCGCGGAAACCCTTTCAGGAATTCATGAAGTCACAAATACTTTAAAATATCTCTGATTAATTAAAAACACAGAAACATAGAAAAAACTGATGTCATAAACAAGAGATGGTGCTCTAACAAGTCTACCCTTCGAGTTTGTTTTTGGTTTCTTTCTTATTTATTTTTATTATTTGTCCATTTTATTATTTTTCTATTTTATTATTTTTCTATTTTATTTATTTTTATTTTTGTGGCAAAAGAACACTAAGCATATTTAAACTCAGTTTAATGATGATCAACCAACTACCTCCGCTGGAAGTTGGTTCCAAGCTTCCACCACTCTTTCTGTGAAGTCATACTATCTAATATTATTTTTGAACTTTCCTCCTGCTGTCAGTTTGAGTTTATGCCCCTGGTACTCTTGATTTTTGCTTAACAATTAATTTATACTGT